AGAGAACAATAAAAAGCTTGTTGGAGATTGGAAGAGGACCACTGAAGAGAGTTACTGGTGTGCCGTAAGTGCTTCTTTCAGGTCAAGCCAAGAATGAGGGGCATTAAGGAAACCTCTCAGAGTGTTTTATATGGGCTGTCTGCATTTGGGAGACACAGAAAACCAGTGTTTGATTCACGCTCGCATAATCTAAAGGGAAGGCGATGTGTTCACAGGCAGCTTGGATGGCTTCACAGGTTACCTGCAGATTTCCAGACAAAGTGTTTCTTGTGAACCTGGTTTGGACTACACCTGGGAGACAGCCTGCCTAGAAGACCGAAGTGGAGAGCCTACCCAACTGAGAAGGGAGTTGAGTGCTCACTCAGGGAGAGGGCATCACACCCATCCAAGGAGCTGTGTAGGCTTCCTCATGATTATGTGGGAGAAAGTTCTCCAACGAACTCTGAAAGTGTCCCTCAAGGGAGAAGGAGCCAGCTTTACATATATTCCAGGCCCAGAGAGCTTGGGAGCAGTTCATGACACTGTCACTCGAGTGAGAACTTCCATGTCCTGCTCTTTCCCTGCCCGCCTCAGTTCCAACCCAGCGACGCTTTGGTTAGCAGTCTGGGAGAAGGCGGAGGCTCGCTTTTCCCTCGCACTCCAGATCCACTCTCTACCCTTTCCTAGCCACAAACCCTAGGAGGATGACCTCTATGGACCTCATCAGCAGGCTCCCTGACCTCCAAAGGCACCATGGGCTAACAAGCCAGGGTGGGGGATTGGGGGGGGAGTGTACTCTCCGCCCCTCCCTGCCAGGTCACTGGGTTGCTGTGTCCCTCTCCCAAAGATGGAAGGACCCTCAGATGGCCCACCCATACAGCTTCCTTCTCCTGGTTCTAGTAACTTCTCCTTCCCCTTGCACCTGCAGACTGTGGAATTCTCTGCTCTCCCAAACCATGCCCACACCTCCGTAAACAGTCCTTTTATGAACCTCCCCTCAACTGTCCAGTTTTATGAGCCATCCGCTTCCTGCTGGGACCTTTGATGACACAGAGGAAAGAGAAGAGAAGCTAATTGTTCCCCTCTACCTCACCCCACCCCATTTCCATCTGTGGCAGGCAGAGCTAGGGGATAGGAGACATCCAACTCTTAAGTGAAGTTTAAAGTTATTATTATTAAACTGAACATAGAGAACTGAGACTGTGTCATCTAAAAGTGACCTGAAAAGTCATGGGACTTGACCCAGATTTCATCTGGGGTACAGAATTGCCTCAACCCAATAAACTTGCAGCAACAGTGGGAGCTGAAAGTAAAGTTGCTTTCTGATTATACCAAAGAGTTGTGCTTGTTCCATTCTCCCAACTGCCAGAGGTGGGACTCTGGGTGGCGTCTGCCTCTAGGGTCCATACTGTCATCACTCTGCTATATAATTTCTTACAGGACTAGTCAATGTAGGAGTGAGAACCTCTTTAACTTCCAATGTCCATTACAAGATGGAGACCTAGACTTCTCCTCCAGCAGCCTTCATTCAGAATTCTGTCTTTCTCCTCTGGGATTCTAACCTAAATCCATGATTCGGGGCATTTCCTTTGGTTTCTCTAGGGAGGAAACTGGTCTATGTTTCTGAACCAATGCATTTATATAGGATATGATTTGTGACATAGGTCCTCCTCCTCCTCACTCACTGCTAATGACATCAGTTTTGCCTTTTATGTCAACCTAGATGGAGCTGTCTGGTGGTGGCCTTGTTGTTGTCCTTAGGATCTGGCCAAGATTTTCACAAATGATTTGAATACCTTTGAGTTTCCCAACTGCAGGCCTTTCTTTGCACACACTCTTCCCTCTGCCTCTATTTCTCTACTTCCTTCATCTCCTGCAGTTATCTTTCAAGTCCAGCCCTATATACCTGCCCGGCACTGTGGCCTGTACTCTCACCACTTTGGGAGGCCAAGGCATGAGAATCACTTAAGCCCAGGAGTTGGAGAGCAGCCTGGGAAACATAGCAAGATCCTGTCTCCAGAAAATAAAAAATTAAACAATTAGCCAGGTGTGGTGGCACATGCCTGTATTCCCTGCTACTTAGGAGGCTGAGGTGAGAGGACTGCTAGCGCCCAGGAGGCTGGGGCTGCAGTGAGCCAGGACTGCACTCTAGCCTGGGTGACAGAGCAAGACCCGTCTCAAACAACAACGACGACAGCAACAACAAAAATCCATCTGCTTCAAGAAGCCTCTTGAAGGGTGTCCCTGGGAGGGTAAATCATCCCCTCCTCTGTGCTTCTGCTGGATGGGGGCCACATTTCTGTTTTTGTGTCATGCTGCATTGTAATGATCTGTTTACATGCATGTCTCCATTACTGGGCCCTCACTAGGCAGTGAACAGCTTGACACAAGGTTCATTGGTGCTTAATGATTTTCGTATCTTCAATGTCTGGTATGAGGCCTGACACATGAGGGCCCAATAAAGATTTTTTAGAATAAATTATGAATGACTCAAAGAAAGAATGAATTCCTTTAGTTTTTGAATCATATGGATGAAACAGCCAACATGCATTCAACACCCTACATGACCAGCACTGTGCTAGGCACGAAGGGGGGGCCACCCCAAGCATGAGGACACCATTTCTGCCTTCGAGAAACAAACAATCTGGCTGAGGAGGCAGAGCGAACTAATAAGTAGTAGTTGTAGCGGCAGTAACAGCAACTAGCACTTATGGAGTGCTTGCCACATGCCAGGCACAGTTCCAAGTGAGTTACCATGTGGTAACTGACTCATTTTAATCCTCGTAATCACCCTATGAGGAATGTGTTTTTATTGTCTTTAATTTACAGATGAGGAAACTGAAGCTTAAAGTGAGGAAGGGGCATGCCCCGTCCCAACCAGCATAGGACAGATCACAGACACTAGAGGAGTTAGGAGAGGAGGGAGTTGCTTGTGAACTGGAGTCCTCGGGGACCGCTTTGAGGGGAGGCTGCACTTGAGTTGAATTGTGAATCCCCCTCCCCCTCACTTTGCCTCCCTGACCCCTGTGCATCTGGAGCCCTGGGGAGACCACTGCAAGTTGGATGACTTTGCGAGGGCACCAACGTCATCAGTGCTCCCGCCAGGCGCCTCCCCAGTTCCGGAGCCCAAGGGGACAAGAGCCCATGGCAGCAGCTGATTAATTTCCACTGACAAGAGGTTGCGTCTTCGGCAAGCATGGTATTAAATAGCTCCTTTTGATCATAATTAAGTTTCTCTCAGGCTGATGCTATAAATAGCCATGCCCTATTGATTGGAGGGTCTGGGCTGTGAGCTCAGCACCCTCCGGGAGCCTTTCCAAGCCGGGCCTGGGCTCTCGAGTCCCACTTTTCTTTTTCTGATGTGTGGCATTCCTAATTTCAAGGGCAGGTGCAGCTGAACGCCAGGCTTGAGTTCAGCTCATTTTCCCAGCCCTCCCCCACTTCCACAGCTCCTTCCAGGCTTGGCTCAAGAAGGTACTTGGCTTCCCCAAGGAAAACCAGGCGCAGACCTCAAGAAGCTGGAACACCATCTCTCCTGGGCCGCTTCAGGACCTGAGTCTTTCCCTTTCTCTGCAAATGAGGACAATAACCCTACCCCTCCCTACAGCACCTGGACACCCCCTTATGATACCAGTAGGGAAACTGAGGCCCGGACAAGTGAAGATCTTGTCTAAAGGTCTCTGGAGAAGAAACTAACTCACAACTAGGGTTGTCCCTGCCTCTTTCTCTTCCTTAACAAAAGTGGAACCAATCTTGTTTTGCTGTACTCAGTGCTATGTTTAAGACAGAATGAGAAGAAGGGCCTGGGGCCTACAAGGCCCAGGGTCACAATAAGGGGAGGAAAACATCTCAAACAAAACACATTAATTATGATCCCTGTGCCCAACAGATTTTTATACTGGCGGAAAAGCACCAGGTAGAACACTGTGTCTCCCCTCTAGATGCCTTTCAGAGTCACTTACCAGAAAGCTACAAGATTCTTTCTCCAGGGGTGCTCCCCAACTCCCACTAAGGAGGCCCCAACAGCCACTAGGCGCACACACAGTGCTGCTACTCGGTCCAGTCTGTGATTTCTTGATACCTGGTTCTGTTTCATCTGGCACCACCCAAGGAACGTGATGGGCTGGGAACAAGGCAGTGTGGCAGAGAGGAAGGGTCTGCCCTTAAGTTGCCAGGCTTCATATGATCCCACTTCTGCTACCAACGAGGGATGGTCCTGAGAACGCAGCTTAACCTCTATGCCTTAGTTTTCCTCATCTGTCAAATGAGTAGGTGAAACAAAATGACCTTTAAGGTTCTTTTCTGTTCCAAGTTCCACAACGATATGATTTTAAGTTAAAAAAAAAAAGATATGTGCACCCATAGAGCATGGAAGAGCCCAGGCTCTGTTTTCATCTTAAAGAAAGAAATCACTCGGGCTCCAAAAGGAGGGCATCTGCAAAGGGCTGGACCTGGTGTCAGGCTCCTGCCCTCCACTTTTTATGGCAAACCATGGCCGTGAGCCAGATCTGTCCCATCTCCTGTTTTTATCAATAAAATTGGAACACAGCCATGCCCCCTCATTTACCCATTGTCTATGGCTGCTTTTGTGCTACAACAGCAGTGCTGAATAGATGAGAATATATGACCCACAAAATCCAAAATATCTACTCTCTGTCCCTTTACAAAATAAGTTTGTTAAGCTCTGCCAGGGCATGTCGGTGGCGTAAAAAGAGGGGAGAAAGGACTCTCCAGTTGAGGCGAAACTTGGGGAGATCCTGGGCAGAGCTGACTTCCTATTCTCCACTGTCCTGCAACTCAGGGTGTAGTAGGGATCACTCGTACTTTTCCAGGAGACATGGATAAGGACCCTGAGCCCTAGGGACCCTGCCCAGTGACCTAGCAGCCTGGAGACAGGCTGTCCCCAAACCACCTGGCATACACACACATCATGGGGTGGAGTAGGACAGAGAGGCAATTGCTTTTCATCCTGAGTTTGTGAGAGTAACGATCCTAATCCAACTTGTGTAAAGAGCATCCAACTTGACCAGGCTGTTCTCGTCCCCACTGGGGTTCCGCGGCTAATCTGCTCCAGAAAAGCTCCCCAAACCCCTGCAGGGCCCTGAGCTGAAGCCAAGGTAGGAGAGAGCCTCAGGTCCATTCGCAGTGCTCAGAAGCAGAGTCATTCCCTGGGAAGAGTAGGAAAAGTTGGTCACTGACAAACAAAGCAGAATGGAGGCCCTATGAGCTTCACTTAGTTCTCTGATGTATGACCAGAGCAGAGGCGCTGCCAGGGAACTAGGGACCAGGAAGTGGCTAGAAACAGGAAAATTAAGTAGAATCGAAATTGGTGAAATAAAACACATCGCCATTTAACCTCCACTCTTTGTGCTCCCCATAGCTTCCCAAAGCTCTCCAGGATTGTGCTGCTCAGCCTTGGATTTCTGGGGATGCTTTTGTTGCTCCCCTTTATTCTACCCCTCTGGAGCTGGCAGGCCCCCTCCATCTGGCATCTGTCCTGGCAGACGGCACTGCACTATAGCCCTTTGATCTCCACCCCACAGTGTCCAGCATCCACCTGCAGGGTTGTAGGGGGTTTTCATTGTCTTCTCTTCCTCAACATGAAGCCTGATCTGGTTTTTGAGGGTGGGGGTGGGGGAACAAAATCTCTCGATTAGTTTTTACACAGAGGCTGCCGGAGGCCATATGCCGTGTTCTCCAGCTCTGCCATTATGCATCTTGCTTGTAATTGCTTTAGAATGACACTCATCATGTTCTATTTTATCACCCAATGACAGATCCATGTAGGAGAAGGGAAACACACTCTCGTACACACACTCACAGAGTCAGCCAGACTGCATAACAGTTAGGCAGAGTAATTGTTCTGAAATTCCAAGAGCTGGACTCTGTCCACTTGCTTAAATAGAGAATGTGTTGCATGCACAGTTACTGCTTCTGTGTATCAAAAGGATGCGGTCGGTGGTGGACAGCCTGGCCCATGCTTCCAGAAGTGCTTTCCCATGTTCACGTGCTCCCTCTAACCCCCCACAAACCCTCAGCCTTCTTTGCTGTAATTACTCAAGGATGGTTTATTTTCAGGATGGAAAGACAACTATAAACAGAGAAGTAAACAGAGGCTATTCCCCAGTATTCAAACATTCCACCTCAAGCACTCTGAGGCAAACAGTCCTCCCTTCCCACCCCTCTGCGTCTTCTGTTACTTCCCTTGCCCCAGGAGGCTCACCCCATCCACCACTTCCTACCTTCATCAGGGAGGGTCTCTCTCCTTCTTAAAGGTCACCAGGGTTGGAAGCTTCCAGGGTCTCCTGTGAACTAAACTATAGACGCTTTAACTTGGCTCTTGAAGCCTTCCTACGGCCAGCGAGGGCAGTAAGGTCTATATTCTCTTCCTGCCCCCTGCTGGGGATGGCAGTAAACCGAAGACACCAGTAGCTATGAGCAATGACCAGAAACAACTTCTGTGTCCCAGCTAGGTGCTCTCTGACACACTGTAGGTAAATGGTAGAACTCCAGTAGCAAGCCTCTTCCTCAGAGGCTGGAGGTGCAAAAAACAGTTCACAGTTAAATGGTCTCACAGCCTGATATGGTTTGACCATGTCCCCACCCAAATCTCATCTTGAATTGTAGTTCCCATAATCCCCATGTGTTGTGAGAGGGACCTGGTGGAAGGTAATTGAATCATAGGGGTGGTTTCCCCCAGGCTATTCTCGTGATAGTAAGTTCTCACCAGATACAATGGTTTTACAAGGGGCTTCCCCTTTTGCTCAGCACTAATTCTTCTCTCTCCTGCCACCATGTGAAAAAAACAAAAAGTGTTTGCTTCCCCTTCCGCCATGGTTGTAAGTTTCCTGAGGCGTCCCCAGCCATTTGGAACTGTGAATCAATTAAACCTCTTTCCCTGTCTTGGGTATGTCTTTATCAGCAGCATAAGAATGGACCAATACACAGCCCTAGCAACTTCTCCCTTTCCCACCTTGGACTAAAACCCTCCATAACCGATGTTGGGATCTGTCTCCTCTACCCAAGCTGACTTCACAGCAGACCCCATGTAAATGCTTCAGGGCCTGACCAGCTATCTAGGGCTTGGAATCTGGGCCCCCAGGAAATATCAAAAAGCCAAAGATCCTTTCTTTTGAAGGATGCTGATCCTCAGCATGCTTGATAAAGCCCCATTTAGCACATCCCTCCAAAAACAAAAACAGGGGACATACACCAAGAGGTGGGGAACTATATGAGCTAAAGACCAGCCAGGGCTGGTACCCCTTCCTCCCTTCCCCACAGCAGTGGTCAGGCACGGACAGTTCCCAAGAGTGCAAGAGGACCTCTCCAGCTCCCTCCCCTTGCCCAGAAAGTGGCCCGGTATACAAAACAACTGGAAGACTCTGGGGAAAACTTGGGCCAGAGGTGGGGTAGGGGGAGAAATCCCATGTTAACCATACAGGCTGAGACAGGGAGGGAGGCTTGACTGAAGTGTAAACAGTGTAAACTCTCAGCTGGGGTGGGGGGAACACTTTCTCTCTGACCCCTCCTCTATTAGGATACGAACGAGCTTAAGTCCTCAGGGATGAGAGGAAAGAACAGAACAAGCTGTTTCCAGAGTGCTTCCCACCAGCCCTCATGGTTTTAATTCTTCACAAGGAGACCGAGGGGGGCCTGAGGCCATGGCAGTTGGGGAGGCGAGTGACTGGGGAACCCCATCCAAATGCCAGCTTTCCACTCTAGGGAAGACCTCTCTGGGTGGTGCCTTGCCATGTCTCTGCCAGAGCCATGAGGAGGGGGCCTAGATAGCAGTAGATTCGACTCTATGCTCTTGTCCCGGAGAAGAGAGGTACAGCACAGGGGTGAAGCTCTCTCTGTCCAGGGACCACAGCCCAGCCTAGTTTGCTCCTCCCTGGCTTAGCAGCCAGGGGCTGGCGGCCAGGATTCTGGTTGGCCACAGAGGGCCCTGTCCACCTGCACTCATCACATATGCAGTGTGTGTCCTCAGCTGTTCCTCAGAAAGCAAATATCGACGCCAGCGAGGCCATTGTGCTCTGAGCAGCTCTGTCACCCCATCAGACCTGGTTGGCACAATGTTTCCCGGTCTTTGTTGAATATGTCCAATTTCCTGACCAACTCATCCCTGATAAATAATTGTTTCCTCGTTCCCTCCAGGCAGTTCCAAGCTAGGGAAGGGTGGAGGCTGGTATGATAGGGACAGTCCTTTCTTTTGTCTCCTTGGCGTCTGAAAGCCAGGGTTGACCTCTGCTTAGTGCAGGGGAGCACAGGCTCCTCTGCCAAGCCCCATCTCCTACTTGGCAGCTGCCAACTTTTACCAAGCTCCTTCCCTCCTTGCCTCCCTTCCAACCTACTGTCTGAATACCTCCTCTTCCTCTTCTCTATGCTGAAGGTGTGCATTGTGGGATGGGAGCAAGATGGGGATCCAGTAGGACACTGACCTAGGGAACTGGATATTTTAAGGGAGGGCAGAGGAGGGCATTTGAAGGTTTCATGGCATGAAGGGAAGAGCATCCACCAGGAAATAAAGTGATCTGGGTTCCAGTGGTGTGACCGCGGTAGCTGCCTGGCTAATACTGGGGCTGTCGCCTCAGTTTTCTCATATCTAAGACAAGGGGGCTCAACTACATCCCTCTACCCCTAAGTGAGTGATGCCCACAGAATCGAGCCTTCAGGCAGCTACAGTTCCACTTCTGTTCTCCCTGCAGCTTCTGCCCTGAGTTTCTCTGGCCCGAGTTGCTGGCACACCATCTGGTATTCCTGGGTGAGCCAAGAGTTATTTACCAGTGACAGCTCTGTTCATCTGGCCATTGCCACCCAAGCGTGAGGGCAGGAGAGCTCATCCAAGTCCCAGTGATGGCTAAGACTGGGCACGCATATGTGCCAGGCCCTGGTCTAGGTACTTCATAAACGTCATTATTTTTACTCATCACAGCAATCCTCATTTGCCAGAAAAAGAAAGTGAGATTCACAGGTGGATTTCTGTTTGATCACGTTGTAAAAAAGTGGCAGAGCTGCAGATGGAACCCAGGTCTGCCTGCCTTTGGAACACATGCTCTTATTAACCCGCACTCTCCAGCAGGGGTCTTCTTTGAGAGGGTCTGACCTGCCCGGGCAGCACACGGTGCCGCTGAGACTGCAATCATGATCTTAGGAACGAACATGTCTGTGGCTTCTTCCCCTTTGGCCTGGGGGAGCTGCAGAAGGCCTAGGGATAGGAGGAAGTTAGTGCACCAGAGAAGAAAATCCATTCTCTGTCCATTCACTGCCTTCCCCAGCCCCGACCAAAACAGTGACATCACGCCATTACATCCCACTCTTAGGGACTTAGAACCCCTGTCTTTGCATGGGCTTCACTACCTTAGTGGAAACAACTTGGACTTTTGATCAGGCTAAAGCCCACGTGGACGCCCTGCCTATCCAGATGTTCTTTGTATTTCCCACTATGAAATGCAGTCCACATGGTTCATGGTTAGGACCCTGAGGTTGGTTGCGAAAATGGCCACCAACTCTTCTCATCCCTTTGTATTTATACCACTATGCAATGTGATGTTGCTGCTGCTCCTCCTATCGAAAGGTAGAATCTATTTATCTACTCTTTTAATCTGGGTTTGGCCATGCAACTTCCTTTGGCCATTGGGACATTAACAACTGCGACACAAGCAGAGGCTTGAACAGAGATTGTGTATGAGAGCTTGGCCTGTCGTGCAGCTCTCGGGAACCCTGTGACCACCACCATTGGAAGTATCTGGGATAGCCTGCTGGATGATGTGAGACAATAGCCATGTCACCTCTCCTTGTTGCCCCAGGTGATCTTGAGTGGGCCACCAGATATGTGAGTGAGGCCTTCCTAGACCACCTGTCCCCAGCTGGGTCTCCAATGACCAGGGAGATCAGCTGAGCCAGACCAGACCAAGAGAACTGCCCAGACAACTCAACCCTCCACCACACAGAATCATGAGATATAATAAATGTTTATGATTTAAGCCACTAGATTTTTGGGGGTGGATTGTTACATAGTAAAAGTTAACGGATTCAGAGCCCCACAAAGGAATTGAAGTAGGAGCTACAAAATAGGTCCTAAGGAGAACATTGCCTCTCTCAGCTGAGAGAGGCAGCTGAAGGCAGTGGCTAATGGGGTCCTAGAGCCAGAATGCCTCAGGATGAAACC